ATATGCAGAGCCAGATGAGCCAGCACACAACAACAGAAGCAGTAGTGTGCAATTTTCTAATGTCCCTGACTAACCTATGTCTATATAATTGTCTCTTTTCCTCGTCACTTTCACAAGTTACTTTGTAGACCGCACCATCTTCTGTCACAATTCCCAGTCAGAAATCGACGTCGATCAACCGTAGATCGACTAGTATAATCGACGTCGAATCGACGTCGATTCGACAAGGTATTTCTGACTGGGATTAGCGCTTCCTTGTTTGATTCTATAAATTCCAATTTTTTTTTTTTTTTTAATTATAATCTGTATGCGCCGCCTTTTCTCGTTTCCTTTTTCACTTTCTTCGGAATAAAAACTTAAAGAATTGTTTCGGTTCCAATTTTGCCACTACACATGTTCCGCAACAGATCAGGGGAGCCAACCTTCTTTTTTTTCACTTTCTTCACTTCTTTCATTAGTTCCATTAGTTTCATTAGTTCCATTTCCTGCGTTTCCTGCATTTTTTTCTTTCGTTTGTTCCACTTTGCTTAACTGAACACAGCCCAAGTCAAGGTCTATCTGTATGCGTTCAATTTGGGAAGAGAATTTTACTGCGTTTTACGGAAAGAAAAGCAGACAAAGTAGCGTAGGGAAAGTGTTGCGTTCAGGATTGTTGGTGAAACACTTGACAGCCAAGGCTGTAAATAAATTATTTAGTATAAGGGAAGTGCGCGAAATTTTTGCTCATCCGGTTTCTCTTCTCAAATTAAACCCAGTATAGATGTGTATCAAGGGGCACAGTAGTGGCTCGCGCTACGTATGTGCGCAAATTGTGTGTAAGTGCTGCTGTTGTGCGCATTCCCTTCACCGTTGCAGCATTCTATAAACGTCGTCAAACTTTGAACACTGATGCACGTGGATCATTCTGAGTGGAGTACACGCGATCACACGAGGATTTGGAGCTTGAACAGAAGTTAGATCAGCTGGTTTTCCAAAAAAGAAGCAATAAATAATATCAATAATTAATAGACTATATACGATCAAGCAAGGAAAAAAGGAACAAGATAAAACAGTAATAATCAAGATATTTAAGATCACGTAGAGCAGGTAAGTTAGTAAAACACATGTAAGTTGCCTAGAAAAAAGAAACTGTAAATAGATCAAAAACACATTTAATAAGCGCTGAATTTTTAGATTTTTTAGACATTTTACATTTTTTACGTCGGAGATAATCACACTTTGTTTGATACACAGAAGAAAGATAATATAAAATAAACTTGAGTTGCACTGTTCACTTAGTCGACAAAGAATATAAAATGATTTTGAACTGCATTGTTCATTTAGAAGTACGCGACAGAACGTCATGTTATTCAACACCGGAACGTTCTGTATTGTCACTTGAGAAAAAGGTAGACTCTTATAAAATAGAAGCATATTTAATTTGGAAACGAGAAAAAAAGGATCCAGTCAAATATTTGGTAATGTATATGTATAGATTATAGATTATGGAATTCTCTATCTTTTCTTTTTTTCTTTTATCACCCTTTTTAAAACGTATTAGCTAAACCGATAGGCAAATTGTGAAAATATTGCACAAAAATGGCGAAATATTGCACATAAAGTGACGAAAAATTCGCAATGATTGCACTAAGTTGATTCGCCATAACGCAACAGTTTTGTCAGAATACAATTTTGGAAGTAATATTTGTCAAAAATTAGCAAATTTGTACGAAAACGTTAACTGATTATTTTTAAATACTCAACAATCCCGAAAATTCAGTTTACATACATTTGGACGCTACTAAGCAATACAGTGTCAACTCAAAAAATGAAACATTGAGATATTTATGTAGTGTGCTTCTTTCCGCACTTAAAGAACGTTTTGCGATAGTGTTTTAAATAACTAAAATTGTTTTCTATGGTAAAAATATACAAATAATTCAATACAAAATATACAGGGTGTCTCATAATGACCATATCACTGCTCGTAAGCAGGTAGAAGGGATTTTTCTGAGTCGAAAAGTCCTGAACCATTTTTTTCTATTACATATAATAAAGGAGTAATTATTGAATAAAGTAAGCCAATCAGCGCCGACCTTTAGCCGAACGCACGTCAGTGAACCACGCGCCTGATATGCGTGAGCGCTTCGCGCGGCTCACTGACGTGCGCCCGGCTAAAGGTCGGCGCTAATTGGCTTAATTTATTCAATAATTACTCCTTTATATATATATTATATGTAGAAAAAAATGGTTCAGGACTTTTCGACTCAGAATAATCCCTTGTACCTGCCTACGAGCGATGATACGGTCATTATGAGACACCCTGTGTAACTATTACTATTATTATTATTTTACTGAAGATGGTGATCATGTGGGTTGACATGATATTGCTTCTCAGCGTCCATTTCATAGAAATTGTTGTGATTATTGATTTAAGATTTTGCTGCAGTAATGTGCAATATTTTATGTGCAAGTTTTTTACATGAAATTGTAGGAATCGTTGTGCATTTCTGTAAGCATGTACATGAATAAGTAATTTGATTTTTTTATGTGCAATTATATTTGTACATTACATTATTTTAAACATCACATAGCTGAAAGTTTTATCTCAATTATTGAACAATTCTTTTTGAAATTTAATTTTGCAACTATGTTGCTGAGATGATTCGCTATATCGTTAGTGTTTTGCCAAAATAGTATTTGGAACTTAATTTTGCAAACAATGTTACAAATATTTTATAAAAGATCAATATTTTTCAACTATTTCTTAAATTATATCTAAATAATTGTGAATCACAATTTTCATGCAAGATTTTATCACATACTTCTATAAATGTTTTCCTATCGGGGTAATTTTACCTGTTAGGTAAGTACAAAGTTTATGTCTGATTTACCATTAAGTAGTTTATTTATTTTGTGTTTGTTTTTCCGATTGTGAATGTCGTGTAATTTATCGTCGGACCTTATGTGATTGTTTTATTTATTGCTAATTTTTATAATGTTTTTACCCTTTTTGTCTTTTTCTTGTGGGCCCTTTATGTTTCGAATGTGCGTGTCGTGAACTTAATATCGTATTTTATTCGTGTGTGAGTGCCGCGGATTATTTTGTTTATTCGAGTGTGTGTCGCGTTCTTACTTATTATTATCATCCGTATTTCTCATGCGGTAACGTTCGAAGATTTGTGTTTTTCAATGTTGTTAATTTTATAATGTTTCAATGTAAACAGGCATTTCTCATATACGTGATGCAAATCCAGCATCCTATATGAACTTACGAATTTCAATTTCAATTCAACACTTACGTGTAAACTCTCTTTAAACAAAGAAATATAAAATTATATATATATATTAATTCCGCACGAACATCCAACGTAGGCTCTCATTAATCAATTAATTTACTCGTTATGAATACAGTTAACATAAATGAATACAGTTACATAAAGTTCATGACTGATTTATCATTAAAACTAATGATAAATTGATCACAACTTTTTGCATTCATCTAATACATAGTAATTACTAAATAATTCTAAACCAGAATTTTAAGTGCTTGTGTCTTTTTTCCTTTAAACATTATTGTCAAAATCGGTTCTACTTATTTACCAATTAAACAAGCAAGTTTCTTTTACAGATCAGAACAAAAGATCTTTATGACTTTGACAAAAACTTACTGTGTATCACCTTGATAGGTCCATATTCAAGTGAGAATATGGCTCTTAAAATATATTTTCAAAATCCATTTCACGGTCTTATAATTTCCACTACTGAGTTTGATCCTCTTAAACAATTTTTTTATCTTGTGAAGATGATGTCTGAAGGATTTTGGTATACATTTCACAAAATACTGTCATCTATAGAAAGTGACAACTTTACATCAGAACTTACCACAGAAATTGGAAAAAAAAGAAAATATTCATCTAGAGAAAGTTTTCCTAGAACAACGAAAACACTTAATTTACGCAAATCCAACATAACGGAATTTCATCCCCAAGTATTCTTAAGTACTCCTACTTTTCATACTCTACGAGAACTTATCCTAACAAACAATCAGATCTCGTTTCTGCCAAAGGAGTTAGGTACTGTGCCACATCTTAATAAGCTGTTATTATCACACAATTGCCTTGGAAACACTTGTTTAGAGATCGCTAAATGGGAATGGATGGAGCAAACTGCTATTTCGCAAAGCCTGAAAGAATTACACATAGATAACAATAATGTAAGTTGTGTTACATTATAACTATAAGATGGCGCATACAACTGATAGTTTCATGTGAAACACAATTTTATTGTTTTTTAGTATTAGTGAGTGACTAATTTATTATTTATTTTTATTTATTATTGTCATTTAGCTCACTAAGTTGCCACTACAAATTGGAAAGCTACAAAGTTTAATATGCTTAAACGTTTCCCAAAATTTGTTAACAAAATTGCCGCAAATTATTGGAACTTTGCAACATTTAGCATCGTTGAATGTGGTGGGAAACCCTCTGTTATATTTACCAGGGAGTATGAGAGGGATGGAATTGGAACTTTTGTTTCTTGAAGACTATTCTTATATAGATTTTTTGGTTGATGAGTATACATCACCTACTCCAAAAGTGATGAGCCTGATGGATTTAGGAGCTAAAACAGTGAAAAAATACAGGTGTTGTATATTTTATTAGTTGACTATGTTATTTTATACACACACAGTTACTAATTTAACATTTATAAAATGAGAATAAATTTATTGTTTTGCAGGATACCATACAATGATTTACCATCTAAATTGGTCAGATACTTAGACAATAGCAAATTTTGCTGTATATGCCGGATGCCTTGCTTCCATTCTGATATAAAAACTTTCGAGCGATTATTGGATACTACACGTTGTGAACGTGTAAAGTGTTTATATAAAATATGTGACGATAAAATATGTTACAAATACAAGTTGCCACTCTCAAGTCACATACCATTCAAATGTTATTTTTGTTCATCAAAGTGCTATGTTTATTATGTAAGACATATTAAGTGACAATATAGTACCAATAAGTTTTTCACAACGTACATAAGTTGTAATTTGTACAAATGATCAAAATAAAGTTATTGGAACATCCCAAAATAAATGTGATGTCTGTTACCTGCAAATTTCTTACTGTTTCTACAGTAAGAAATTTCACAAATATATATTTCATACATTACAAGTACGTCTCTCTAATATCTGCATTTTTTAAATGTCATTAGCTTCAACAAGAGTATTAGATATTCAATATTTTGCAAACTCCAGCACACAGATCACTCTGAAATGGAACTCTCCTGATTATTCAAGCATAGTGCTTTATTCTCTCTTAACATTAAAGATAACTTTATGTACCTTGTAGTTTACATGTACTCAAATGTCAACATATATATAAACATTTTTTGTTTTCTACATATTAGTTCAAGTGTTTCTTAGACGCATTACTTCTTTAATAATTAAGTAATAGTAATACAGCATTGGTTATATAAGTTATATTTTTTTCAAATATATAGAAGTTCGATTCAAGACGATGTAGCGTGCATATCGTTTTAGTTCGATCGTTCTAGTTTTCCTAGTTATAGTATATACTGACAAAGTATATATCTTTCCGATATTTGATACTTTCGCAATTTGTTGCATTTTAAATAGTATTTAAAGATACTTTTTTTATGTAAACCGCGTTAATGTCACTTTTATACTTATGTTTTGTGACCATTTTATCAGTTTATTTCATTAAATTCTCACGAGTAACATAATACTGAAGTGCTTTTGGCCAAGTGTCACTGTTTTTATCTTTAAATTACAGAGAAGACAGAGTGTGTAATATAGAAAAATAGTATACTAAAGGTAGTATTTTTTCTTGATTGCTTCTTAACGAATCTAATGTTTAAGTAACATAAAGTAAACTCGGATTTTATGGCCATACAGAAAGGAATGGTCATAAACTGTAATTTCACCGATAATTGTTTAATAGTGCATTTTTGTAAGCCATTCTTAAAGATAATCAGTATTTACAGTTTATATTTAGTTTATGTTTCATTTATGTATCATTAGTTTATGTGCGTACACTATTTAGAATGACAATATTGTGTAAAAATTATATGCTATTTTTACTTTTGATTATCTGCAAAGTTTTGCATATATCCACTAAAAGCTGCTATAACTTCAAATAAATTGCAGTTAAGTTGCCGTAATCAATATTACACACATACCAAAGGTACATAAATTGTAATGTAATCATTAATTTGTGTGTAGTTTCATTTTCATTATTTATTTAAAAATACTATGAGGTTATCTTTTTCTCACACTTCGAGAAAAATGGCCTATATAAATATATATATATATTTTTTTTTATGATTAGTAGTATAATCTACAATGTGTTTAATCATCGAAATAAACATTTGTCTGTAATAATCGTTTTTATAGTTTTTAAACTTATCTTATCATTGCGTTTCATAATTAAAAACTACCGTGAATGAAAACATTAACAACAATCATAGTGTTAATTCCTTTAAAGTAAAAATAATTACTAAGTTTTGTAATCTGTGGGATGATTACATCTGCGTAAATACACTTTACGAAAAATGTTCCAACATTCAGGTAAGAATAGAAACACTGCAAATATTTCTTTTGCTCTTGAAAAAGATTATCTATATAAAAAAACAAAAATTTTTACATATTGATAAACAATATATTAAAATAATATACACAGATAAAATAATATATTAAATTAATTCAAGGTAAAGTATTATAGAACAACGCAAGATTTAATCAATCAATGATAGCATATGCTCGACGTTTACGTACAGTAAAATAAATAAATACCCAGATAACCAAATTTGTCGAAACAGATTTTGCCAAATGCATGTTACAAATTTTGTTAGCAGAAAGACATCAAATATGATGCAGAGTTTGTTTTATCTGGCAATGTTGCACAATTGTTAGCAAAAATATATCCAAGCTTGTTAACAAAACATAACAGCAAATTGCTGGCAAAAACCGAGCAAAGCTTGCACATAATTTGAGACCAAATTGACGCCAAAAATGAAGCAAGATCTGCGCAACACGACTTGATAGCAAAATAACAGCAA